ATATAATATCTGTGGATGTATGCATTTATGTATGCATGTGGGTGGGTGTGGGGTGGGTGTGGGTGTGGGTGTGGGTGTGGATGTGGATGTGTATATGTGGGTGGGTGTGGGTGTGGGTGGTTGTACTGCACAGGCTGCAGCGCCCTCTGTGCCCTTAAGGGTGGTGAAGGGCTACGTGCGGACGAAGAAGCGGCAGGCGGCGGCGGGGGCTTCCAGTGGCTTCCAGCGCTGTCCCATTACAGGGCAGTTGATCCCAGCGGAGCAGATGAGCCAGCACCTCCGCATTCTCCTGCTGGACCCCAAGTGGAAGTGCGCATAGACAGCTGAGACCTCAGCGCCTCATTGAATCTTCTACTCGACTAATTGCATTTTTAGGCAGCACACAAATGCACTAACTGGGAACGTGCACAAGATGTGTTGGAACAAGCATGCAAGCAGTCTCGTCCTAGTGGCGTCTGCTGCTGCCTCTGATTATGCAGCTGTTTGCGGGGGTTGTGAAGGTTTATGGGTTCTTCTTGTGTTGCCCCTGCAGGGAACAAAAGGATCGCTTCCTGGAGAAGGCCCAGGCAGAGTCCGCCTTCGCCCCGCTGGAAGATGTGGAGGGGTATTTGGCGCAGTTTGTTGCGAAGAGGCCCGATCTATTCGGTTCTGTAGACGACCATGCGGTGAGTCATTTTCACGTGTGTGGGTTTGTTGTCTATCTCTTTCGGTTTCTGTCTCCCCTCCCCCTCTATCTCTTCCTCTGTGTGTGTATGTATGTATGTATGTGTGTGTGTGTGTGTGTGTGTGTGTGTGTGTGTGTATGTATGTATGTGTGTGTGTGTGTGTGTATGTATGTATGTATGTGTGTGTGTGTGTGTGTGTGTGTGTGTGTGTGTGTGTGTGTGTGTGTGTGTGTGTGTGTGTGTGTGTGCATCTTTGTGTCGGTGCGTCTGCGTGGTTGCGTGTGTGTCTGTGTCCGTGTGTCGTGCATTTTCTCTGCTGCTCCCCTTGCGCGGCTTGCAGCATTGTGGCTCCTGCATCTACTGATTTGCAGCTGCGTCTCTTTTCCCCACTAGTTTGGAGCGAGTGTTCGAAAGCACTCATGTCAGATATTGGGTTTCTGGTCACCCGTGCATTTACGAACTCACCTTTGCCTTTGGTGCCCTCTCTACTGTGGTGTGGGGCTGTACTACTCTAATGGGGCCAGTGGGTGGGCGATTGGTTTTCTTTTGAAGCCTGCGTCTGTGTCGTCTATTATTGCTATCCTCCGACCTGTAACATGATGCCGATGTGGTGGTGACTTAGAAGCGTGTGTATTTTCATCGTAGTTTGAGCTTTTTCTTCTTTAGGGTGTGTCTTTGGCATTAAATGACCCAGCAGCAAGCGTATGCTGGTTGGTTTTTCCTGTGTCCAGAGGCTTGAGGCCGAGGCAGAAGTTGACCCCCTGCGCGCGGAGGCGACGGTCGCGGGGGCGCGTGAGGGAGGAGTCGGGGGGGCGGCCCACGATGCCAAGAGGCAGCGAGTGGACGGGACCCCTTCTGTAGCATCAACATCTGGAGCGGGAGCCCCTTCCTTGCTGCTGCTGACAGTTGTCTGTCAGGAGGGAGAGGGCCTCGAGGCTCAGGAGGCGCAGGTGGAAGTGGACAGGTCGCTGACAGGCGCGCAGCTGAAGCAGTCGCTTCTGGATGCGGGTATCGGTGCGGAAACCCTGAAGGCGCGTGATCTGCAGCTGTCTACCAGCCCCAGTGGCCCCGCAATGCTGGTGAGTCTGCAAGCGGCCTGCAGCACCTGTTGCTGTCTCACGCCCAGAAATCCTTGTGTTCACGTGATGTTGGAGGCCACGGCTCTGGCTGCAGCTGCGGCGCAGGGGGAAAAGGCGCTAAAAGGCCGTGTACTTGGGTGATGCGATGTTGCTTCTGCAGGACCATCTCACCTTGGCGGAGGCGGGTATCCGGTCCTCCGAAGGCGTCATGTACCTTTCAGTCGTCTCCCGCTGACGGATGGCCACTGAGCTGTCGTGGTTATTTAAATATATAAGTTTTGCTGAAATGTGTGCTGTTTTGCTGTCATACTTGCCTGAATATTGGTGCATATATCAAGAACCACAGTTATTTGTACCGGGGGACGCTCGAGGGCAGAGCCCAGTCTTGCTTGTACTTCTAATGCATTCATCCCACCCTTCTTGGCAAACTCGCACGGCTTGTTGCTTGCAGCTAAGGCAGCCCATGGCTAGCTAGCTGTCATAGCAAACGAACACGCTGGAACTCGGGGTCTTTTTGCACAAGCCTGCCCATTATCCCCAGATTTTGAAGTGGTCGAAATCTCAGTATGCCTTATTGTAGGATAGAGTACCTTTTACTAGCGGCCCGTTGCGGCGTCTGGCAGGCAGCATCGGTTTAGATGTAGGCAGAGGGAAGTCTCCAAAGAGAGGCATCCGGGCATAGCTAGTTGAACTTTCTGGCTGACTGACAGGTTCTACGCGGAACGTGGGCACATATGCTTGACGCCTGATTTAGAAGGGAACTAGTTCTTTTTCCACTGCAGGAAAGTGAGAATGTTGGGTGGCTCGAAAGGAGGAATTCCCTGCAGCAAAAGTTGGGTTGCACACCTGTTGGAGCTCAAAAAGGGGTGCTTCTGGAACTCGCGCTTAGGAGGGGGAGTGGGTTTACTTTTGGCAATAACTAGACGGCTTGTGATTAGGAGTGTGCTGCTGCTGGTGTTCAGTCCATGAAGACACCGAGCACTGCGGTGTCCTGGCAATTTCCTTTTTGGTCAATAATGGGAAGGTGCGCGTACAGTGGATTGATTTTCTGCTGACGTAGTTATGGAGGGGTCACTTCACTCAAACAGTTTTCGCGGGGATATCCCATGCATGCCATGTTAGATGGTCCGTGTTTCTGAGAGCAGATCCATCTAATATGAGAATTTGTGTAAAATTAGACACTCAGAGATACAGTCAAAAATAAAGGAATTTTTACGTTTGGAGCCCCTCTTCCGTGGTCACTGGTTTTGGGGCCCCCCCCTCAGCTGCGACCCCGTGGGCGGGAAGGTCGCGCTATCCCTGCCCTGCGCAGCGTTCATTTGTATAAATATTCATTTTGATAGTAAGCGATTTAATGATTAATTCTAACGACGTAAGAGTCGTTTATATTTGTCGCTGTTTGTCAAGCAAATATCCAGCGTTCCCTGTGTTTGGGCCACTGGACTCAAGAGTGGGCGGAGAGCTGTTTTAGCGCCTCCCTAGAGTGCCTTTGGACTGAAGTCGACGATGGATCCCCACGCCTCTTTTCGTTTTGGAAGTGTTTTAATTTCCGATGGGGATAACAAAAAAGACCCGGGCCAGTTACGGAGTATCCTCGTGCGTAACCTACCCAGCCGCTTGAGCTCAGACCAGAGCAAAGAGGCACTGCGGCAGCTCTTCTCGGGGAGCGTGATGAGAGCGAATCACCTGCAGGCCAATCACAGAGAAGGCCAAAAGAGCCAAGAGGGAATTCTCCTGGTGTCTGCGAAGCAGGGTATTTTGGGTCAGAACAGGTGGCCTGGGCGTCGTTTGAACCCCCAAGAGGGACGCGGAGATGCAACACAACGGAAGATTGTCATATCGAACGGGCATCGCAAGCAGCTGCTGCAGCAACTGCCTTACGCTGTTTCCAACATTCGCGTCGCCACCGACGACCGCGGGAACAGCATTTACGCCGTTGTTGATTTCACGCACGAGTTCCTCGCCAATTTGGCCATTCAACTCCTGGGTGAAACAGCTACGATGCCAAGTACATCCACGTGAGGAGCTTTTCTCAGCTCTCATCGGCTGCGTTTTCGTGGCGTGCACAAACTGCAACATTCTCATGCTTGTGCTCACATTTCCTTGCCTGGTTTGTGGATGCGCATGCCGCACATAAATACGATGAAGGTGCCTCTGATGTGTTTTTATGTTTGTTTCGTGCTGTCAGGCAAGTGCACCTTTCTTTGCATGGAACATGGAGCACGCCTCTGGTTGTTGACCAGTACCACCTATACGTTTCTGGCCTCCCGACCGGTAGCGCATCTATTTACTCAGCTTACACACCGGTTCTGGTGCATAACTATCACACAGCTAGAGCAATTGGCTGCTTGGAAGCTCCAAATCGTCCCTTTATACCTAGTAGCCTTGTGTTTGTTGGAGCTAATATTAGGCCCAATGACAAATGCGTCTGCAGAAACACTGAAGCTCATTCCTTTCCTGATGACTCTGAATTCAGGCATTACAGTAGGCCAAGTAGAGGATATTATCACCTCAGCGACAGGCATGACACCAACACATGTAAAGGTAGGCCGACGTAGTCCATGCCATCAGTGAGTCTAAATAGTGGCCACTTCCAAACATTGTGTAAACGGTGGGGGGGGGTGGG